TTCCGCTAATATAGTTTCTAATGCGCTAAAATTTTGTTTATAATCTAATGGGAACATATATAACCAGCCTACGAATTTTTATCGAAATCAAAAGGGGTCGGCCGAAAAGTGATTGATTTGACATGGAATGACCCGGTTATATATGTTCCCATTAGTTATAAACAAAATTTTAGCGCATTAGCAACTATATTAGCCGAGATAATCGGGGTTAAAGGTCCAAAAATGTCTTTTTTTGCTTTTTACTGATGTCAAATAATTAGTTTTTAATTTAAAACTAAATATGATCAAATATTGAATCTAATATCAATAGCTAAGTTAATAATTTATGATTATGGCGAAAACATCAAAATTAATTTTTTATAAAATATGGGTCATCTTATGGTCAGTTGAAAACTTGAAATTAATATTTCAAAATGTATATGATCTCCGATTTTTAATTTTTTTAAGAAATATTATCCGTTTACTATTTTTTTAATAATTTCTTTAACAATTAGCATGGCTGGATATTTATTTAAAAAAATATTGCGATTTTTATACTTTAAAAAAAATAGATGGCGCTATATATAATAGTTTTAATATGTTAAAATTCATTTTTTTTATTGATTAAAAATATTTTAATATATATATCATATTAAATCGATTACAATGTGCATTATATATATTATTTGTAATTCAGATCATAAATTTTTAAAATCTTCACAAATTTTGCCTAATTAAGATAGTTTATAAATTAATTAAATCTTACTTCATCTAAAGGAATACAAAGCCTTCCTAGCTTGTAAGATTCTTCAGGACATAATATATATGTTCGACTGGTGGGAGTAGAAGGATTGACCAGCGAGAGAATATGAGATTTAGGCAACACTAAAATATTATCTTTCAGAGGAAATTTAAATGAGGCTGAAGGTCCACAAGGGTGTAAAAATCGGATTTTTACTTCTTCATTTGTATAACATTTATCGATTATATATCCTAACCACCAGAGTTGTTAAAAGATACTTTTTAAATGGATCTAGATACAGTTACAGATACATAGTCTCAAAAGATATCTAGATACAGATACATCGTCTAAAAAGTTATCAAGATACAGATACATTTATTATTATGCTCTTATAGGTTTGCATAAACCTAAATTAATATTATATTGTGAAAATTCAAATGAGCTAAAAAATTTATTGACGCGATATAACATTTATCAGAATATAACTAAAATAATGATTTTAATATAATATATGAAAATATATGATTAAATAATTATAAATAATTATTAGATTTCAGTAATAAAATATTTTCAAAATTTTGATCATTTAGGTATCCTCGTTTATCTTTAAAGACATTTTTAGCAACACTAAATAGTCTTTCCACAGGGGCGCTTGAAGGAATTGTAGTGTTATATTTAATAAATAACAATTTTATATCAGGGTATTCTTTAAAAATGCTAAAATCTCTACATTCATTTTTGAAAAAATTATTTAAAATTTGTTGATTATCAAAATTTAAATCATTATTAGAAATTATATATGCTGTAGGGTACTTAAAAAAATCTGAAATTAAATTATTTGTTTTTTTTGGCAGGTTATTTGCTTGCAGTCAGTTGATGACTTTGATAATTCACCAGCTAATCTTTGCATCAATTGTTTTCTTTTATTAAGCTTTTCTTCCATTTGCAACCATGTCCAATCAAGTTTAAAAAAAGGGTGGAGCATGGTTGCTATAATATTATCATCTTCAAATAAGGTCACAATAAACCTAGAATTATAATATTTTTAATTTAACCATTTTCATATTGTAATATTAAAATTTGTATGGTTTATTGATAAACTCGCACATAATATTTAAATTAATGAATATTTATATATAGTTTTAATATTTTATGTATATATAATTCTTTATTATAGTATTAATAAATATTAATATATAATATATATATATATATTTATTTATTTATTTCATAAGCTCATGAAATAAAATAAATTTTACAGTCAAATATTTTTATTTATAATTAAAAAAGAGGTATATAAAATGTATCTTAAAAAGTATCTAAAACAGATACAGATACCTCTAAAAAAATATCTAGATACAGATACCTTTCTAAAAAATCTATCTAGATATAGATACTACATTTTTATATCTAGATACAGCATCTAGATACTTGTATCTAGATACTTTAACAACTCTGCTAACCACCATTTATCATCATATACACATGTTATATATTCATTAATATTTTAAAATATAATTTTCTCATTTAAAAACGGAACTTGTTTTATATTATATTTTTTGGAATTAGAATATATTTTGGTTTTTAGTTTATTTTGATCAATGGGAATAATCCCGTGAATTTTTTGGGTCCCATGTATGGGCAGTGCAGAATTAAATCTTTTACGAAGGGCTAATACCTCTTCGATATATTCTTGATTGGATACATATTCAAATTGAATATTAATATTTTCTTTAGCATAATTATAAATTCTAATGGGGTTAGGATTTGATTTTTATTTGGCCTTTGAAGACTAGCTCTGGCAACTAATCTTTTGACAGTTCCTCCGATACCGTCACATGCATTTTTGCCGTGAGCAGTGACAAAGAAATTCCATTCAGCAGGAATATTAAAATCGTATTTATGAAGGGAAAATTTTTGCGATTCTTGTATTGAGACGCGGCTTTTCCGAAAAATATATTTTTTTTTCTGGTTTAGAATTAAACTTGGCTGTTAAGAATTTAATGAATTTTTTTTGATAAAGGTGGACTGCACTAGTATTATGGCTTAATGATTCGGACAAAATAACAAAATTTATTTTTTTTAATTCTTCTCCAGATTTATAATATGCTACAAATGGATGTAGTGGCCTGCACATTGTTCCAATGAAATCCCTGAACTTCATCTTGTAAAATGAAGGAATAATTTTCAGAATAATCTAGAATTGTTAAAAATTCCTCATCTTTTAAATTTTCTTTGGAATTCTTCAAAAATAAACTTTGTGTTTAGCTATAAACGAGTGACGCAATAAAATTTGAACTTTTTATAATAGATATTCGATGAAACCATCAATGGACTTTATAATAGTTTCAAGATTTGCTCTATCCACCGTGATCCATTGTTTAAACGTCTATACGATTTCTCTGAAACAATTCGTATAATTGGCCCATAAGAGATTCTATACCAGGGCATTGATCACAATTTGTTAAATAACATTTTGGCTGAGATGGATTATAAATAATTTGCGCCAAAAGATTGTTATAAGAATTTATACAGTAATCTTCTCCTGCTGTAATTTCAGCTATTACATTTGTCATTAATTTCACATTCTGATGAATGGCGCAGACACAAACAGTGTGTGTGCCATCCAACTAAAATTCAGTTTTTTGGTCTAAGTTCGGCAAATTTAGGGAATCCAATTGATATTTAAGATTATTTAATATAAATCTTTGCTAATTCTTTCTCGCATTTAACAGATACACAATCTTTTATTCCAGGCATGAGTCGGCTTATTTCATCAGAACTATAATTTTGTTATTTTTATTGCTTAAAAAATTTTTCAAAATCTTTGAAATTTTCTTTATCTCTGGTTATTTTAATAATGTAAGATAATGACAATTTCATAACATTCTTGGTCTTAATGGGTATGACTTAGTCTGGGGAAAGGGTGGATAGGGGGTTGGGGGTAGGCCTGGTAATTAATGTGATTTTCGATTTTTCCCTTAATAATTTTCCTGCACCCCTTTAATCCTGCTTTTTTGTTCGTGTGCTAGTCCGATTTTTTAATTATTTTAATTTACATTGAAATATTAAAAAAATTATTAAAATTTTTTATCCTGCGAATATCTCAGGGGAATAAGGTTTACAAAGTTATATAATCGAATTTTATGATATATTATACATTAAAATATTTTTAATCAATAAAAAAAATGAATTTTAACATATTAAAACTATTATATATAGCGCCATCTATTTTTTTTAAAGTATAAAAATCGCAATATTTTTTTAAATAAATATCCAGCCATGCTAATTGTTAAAGAAATTATTAAAAAAATAGTAAACGGATAATATTTCTTAAAAAAATTAAATATCGGAGATCATATACATTTCGAAATATTAATTTCAAGTTTTCAACTGACCATAAGATGACCCATATTTTAAAAAAAATTATTTTTGATGTTTTCGCCATAATTATCAATTATTAACTTAGCTATTGATATTAAATTCAATATTTGATCATAATTAGTTTTAAATTAAAAACTAATTATTTAACATCAGTAAAAAGGAAAAAAGGCGTTTTTTGGACCTTTAACCCCGATTATCTCCGCGAATATAGTTGCTTATGCGCTAAAATTTTGTTTATAATCTAATGAAAACATATATAACCAGTCTACAACTTATTATCAAAATTGAAAGGGGTCGGCCGAAAATCTTGATTTTTTTGCTCATTTGACATGGAATGACCCAACCAGTCTACAACTTTTTATCGAAATTGAAAGGGGTCGGCCGAAAATCTTGATTTTTTTGCTCATTTGACATGGAATAACCCATTTATGAACTGCATTCGAATTAATATTAGTGTCAGCAATACTTATTATTATTAAGCATGGCGAAAATACTTATAAAATTTATAGCTCTTTAAAAATATTAAAATGATTTTTATATTACTTTATTATACAAAAAAATAATAATTTCAGGATTAAAACATTTGAAATTATTTATAATAATAAAACTTAGCATTTGATTTAGACTTATATGCAAGAATATTTTTATTTGGAAAAATTAATTTTCTTGATATAAGTATTGCTTTATAAAGTAAGGGATTAATACCTTTTTAGAATAAGAATAGTGCTTGCCATTTTTATATCTAATTATAATAATTTATTAATATTCAAGTATTGCTTTATAAAGTTAGGGATTAATACCTTTTTAGAATAAGAATAGTGCTTGCCATTTTATATCTATAATAATTTATTAATATTCAAAATTTTTTCTTATAAATTTTTAATGAACCTGCTAGGAGGACAACCTATCATCTCAGCACCCGACTTTGGCAGTGGGTATGAAACTGGAAGCCGTGGACCTAATGGAACCACACCTAATGTGCGTGGCTACTGTCACGCGGGAGGCTGGGCGACTGCTCAAGATCCATTTCGACGGCTGGGACCGGGCCTATGACCAATGGGTGGACCGCTCTAGTTCTGACCTATTTGCTCCAGGATGGTGTGAGCTGGCCGGCTATAGGCTCGAACCCAGCCCTACTGCCTCCATAACCCCAGAGTCGCCCCACCGGGAATCATTTGAAATTGAAGGTAAATATCAGTATTTGATTTGCTAATCGATTCTAGGACTCTAAAAATTTTGTAAATAAAATAAATGCTGTCTTATAACCACGATTATTCACCAGTCTGAAAAATTTATTTCAATTTTTTTTGAACCAGCTTTGTTTCCCTCTATTTTACGTCTTTGTTATCGCTATTAACGAATAATTTATTTAACGCTAGGCACTCTTACAGTCATCAATACTTCATTTTATTATATAAGATTAAACTAAAAAAACATGATTTTGAATATTTTACAAACACGGCTTACTCCCCAAAATCGATATTGATTTAGGAATATTTTAATAAACTCATTTTTAAACTTAAAAAAAGGATTGCTTCCAGGAATGTGAACCCTTCGAAAGAGTCCGAGTACAAATTTAAAAAATGAGGGTTCAGGATGGAGTACATAAATAAATAAATATTTACTATTAATAAAATAACACAATTTTTTTATTTATTTATTTAATTTTGATTTTACTCCATATCAGAAACCTTCATGGGCCTTAATTTTTTGACCAAGCCCGGCCCAGGCCCGTAATAAATTTTTTTTTTAAGTCCAAGCCCGGCCCATATCTAAAAAATTCCTAGCAAAAAATATAAGATTAATGGCATGATTAAATATTTATTAATTTTACATGATATCGTCCCTAAATTTTTATACAAAAAATTAGGTCTATTATCTTTAAAAGATCAAGCGAAATAATTTAGAATTAATTATTTTTGAATACAAACTACATTATTGAAAACAAATCGATATACTATTTAAATACAGAAAAACTTGTATAATTCGGGTGACCCCTTAATTTGACCAAAATTTTGAGCCCTAATCACATACCTATTAATTACTTGAGAAAATCTAAAGTTTTGATAAATTGAGCAAAAATTTTGGGACTAAATAAAAAAATCATTTGCAGATTGCTCATTTAATTATAAGAGATGCAGCTTGTTGACATATAAATTTTATTGGGTTAAATTTTCTTTAATACTTATCGATTGAAAGCAAGAAAAATAATTAACAAAGAGAAATGTAGAAAACAACTAATATATGTTTTTTAAAATACATAAAAACCGGTTATTGGAAATCTATAGTTAAATTTATTACCCATATTTTGTTTTAGGGATACTATTACAGAACCATAATTTTATTTTACTATTAAATGATTATTGATTTTACTGACATCCTTTTTGAGCGCATAAAAATTAAACGGTACTCTTGAAGGTTTTAAGAAAAGTCAAAGCTTCTTTCACCAACCAATCAGAATTAAATAATTTATGATCCAGTTTCTCCTTTTTATAGGATTTTTGTTAGTGTCACATTGTCTTTTCTAGTATTATTAAATACCATGCCAAAATGGAGGTTAGGCACATTTAATTGTGATGCAGTCATTTATACTAGGAAAATATTTCCTTGATACTACTAAAACATCACATAAATGATAATAAAATATAATGTATAGTTTAAGGATAATAGGGTGTATAAAGAAAGCCACGATTTTTTGCAGTGGCGCACAGGTCTAGTCGTAGCGGAGACCGTGTTGCTCTTATACCATAAAATTTTATTTTAGAGGATTAAACTAAATATCAGTGAATAGCCAAATCATTAGACTACAAAAGAACTACGGTTTTCTATCTTTTATTAAATAAAAGTAGCCCATTAGTGCTTTTTACTATTTGCCAACAACCCTGGATAAGATGACAAGCTCTATGGGGTAAAATAGTAAATATCAAATTTAACATACAAAACACAAAATTTTTCATTTTTATTGTTATAATTAACATCATGTTATTTATAAATTATAAATATTTTTAAAAAATTACATGTAATGAATTATTCTTACTATAACTTGAATGTTCCCATTAGAGAAATTTTAACGCCTTTTCCAGTCTTCACCTTTTTTACTATTGTTGTTAATTTTGTCGTACATTGCACAATTTTTTTTAAATATTTATCTTTTAAATTTTAATAATTTTTTTCCTTTGCAATTTATTTCTCTTTTATTTGCTATTTTACTCCCTGACGTTTAATCCAAGGGTAGTGAGTTAGCTTAAATGGCTACGGACCTTTCTAGATAAGCTAGAAACTATGGACAAGTTTAATCCATAGCCTATCTCTGGGCAATAGGGCATATAAATTTTATAAAATTTGAAGTATTTTTTCCTTAAGGCAAAAAAATACATAAAAGAAATATTGTTCAAAAAGGGAAGTCGTTTTTGATCAATTTTTTAATAAGGCTCCTGATACTAAATGACGTCTTTTGGCCAAATTTGAAATAATTAGTCCTAAAGGTAAAAAAGTTATAGCCATTTTCTTTTTTACTCCACCTGCCAGATAGCTCCAGTACTAACAAAATTTTGTAAATAACAATTTTTTCAAAAAATATAATTTGCCTTTAATAAGCTTTAAAAAATAAGGCAGTTCATTAAAGAACATAATATTGATATCATCTTTTATCTAAGTTTTGATTCATAATTTTATTTCAACTTTTTGACAGGAAAAAAACGTATCAAGAGGAATTCTAATTCCATCCCTAACCACAAGCGTTCAAACAAGCTAAGTATGTTTTTTTATTCCATAAATGATAGTTGTCTGGTCTGATTTAAGTTCATTACTTTGAATTTGAAAATGCAGTTTTAGCCATCTATTAAAGTATAATGATTAGAAATCTTATTAAAAATATATAAACGCAGTTAATACTTAGAGCTATCAATATATTTATTTAACCTACCATTTTTTTATCTACTCATATATCAAGGAAAATCTAAGCAATAATTGGCTTTGCCGCTTTTACAAAACGAATATCAAAGAAATTGTTTAATAATTATATCATAGGCCTGACTAGATTCACTACTTTTTACTCATGTTTAATTATACACTTAATATATATGCATATATGATAGTAGATAATTTTTTTTTTAAACATTTGCCGCACTGAATAATGATATATCAGACTTATTTAATACTCGAAAACCTTAAGAGATGAACCAAGTATGATATTATCCCTTTACTGTTTTAATAATAGACGTCAAATTTGCTAATTATAATATAGTATTATCCTATTTAAATGAAAATAATCTCAACCTTAAACTTAAAAAAATATATACGTTCTGTTGCGGCTTTATATTGTATAGTAGTTTTTACTAAATATTTTTGAATAACAATATTTTTTTTTCTTATTTTATATTACATAAATTGTTAGTTTTTGTTATATTTTGAATTTATATTTTTAAATAATATATATGAACGAACAAGATTTTTGTACTTACGATAACGATGTATTGTTATATTTTAAATTCAATGTTGACATACTTATGATTTTCGAATTTTTTAGAAATAAATTTATTGAAAATTTGATATTAAAATTTTTGTCCTATTTGTGTTTTTAATTTAAGAGTTTAATATTCAGAATATAAAAAAATAGTTTCGGGTGCAAAATGTAAAAAATCTTGTATTAAGGTCGGTATGATTAAATAAATTCACTTTTTTTCTGTATTTCAATAATGATTAATTTTTGTTTTAAAATTAAAGACATTTTATTATATCTCATTTTACTATAATTTGCATATAAGTTTTAATTAATTGATAAATTTTATTATTATAGATGGTTTTAAAGTTGCATTAAATTTGAAATTATTATTTTTTGGTATAAAAACCACTATAAAATTACATGATACGCGATTTAAGAGTACATGCCCACTAACTAATGTTGTGGATACCACATAGTTACGCTAGGCATTCCTCATTTCCATCTAATTGGATGTTAAAGAAAAATACGTGGAGCCCTCTACGCTTATGGAAAAGTCACACCTATCTGTATGCATATTAGTCCAAAGATGATTATTTAAACGTTTGTGGGCTGATTAAAAAAAGGATTGGGCCAAGACTACAGTCCATACCCATAAATTTTATATATATTGATTACTTTATGGGGAAGGGCTAATTCTAATTTTTTAAATTACCATATATCTATATAAAATAAGTAAATTCTGTTGGTTGGAAATATTGAACAAATAACTTTTTAGTAGTACAAATAAATTGAAAGTTGTTGTCATATTGAAGGTATCTAAGAAATATAGTAATTTTATTTTCCTAAAAATTTTAAATTATATATTTTAAAATTACTGGCCTTAATTATATTTTTTAAATGATTGTTTATTGACATACTGTATACACTTTTTGGGAAGAAGGAGGAGGGGGATTGAGGATTTAGCTCAAAATGATTTTTTAAAAGGAGAGAACACCCCCCCCCGATATGTCTATGGTCCATTTATTGCAAGCTTTTGGTAGGGTTATATTTTTTTGAATAAATTTTATCTTTTCTGATTTTTTACAATTTATAGTAATTATTTAAATTATTAACTTATACTCTTATACCTATTTTATTTTTTAAATTATTATTTATAATGACGTGTTATATTAATTTTGGATGGGATAATTTTTAAGGTAATATGAAATCCTGTAAATTTTCCAAGGAGTATAAGAGATCCCGGGGTAAAGCGATTGAATGAGTAACCATGCGAACACTAATAATTTTTGAACCCTCGAACATAAAGACCTCAAAATTGGTGTGAAGATATTTTTTGTATCAAATTTCTTATTTAAATTTATCTTTTAAAAAAATGTTCCTGGTTTGACATATCATGCCAAAAAACGTTTTTACTCATAAATTAGAATATTCACCCTCTAGTTTATTCTTTTAGCAAAATTTATTAAAGCTCATTATTTAAAATTTGCATACATGTTCCTTAAAGGCATAACCACAAAATAAAATTTATCGGAAGTTAATAACTTAACTAGAAGTCAATAACGATCACCTTGAAATAAAGTTGTTATGAGTAATAAGGTTTAATTCAATCTAATTAAAGCTATAAAAAGATAATTTATAAATATTAACGTCTACACCATAAAGATATTTTTGAGCAAAAAGAACATTAATAAATAGTTTGTGTTATTTAGAATGAAATCTTAAAAATAGTTGCATAGGGGAAGAATAATTGAAATGTACTATTATGATGGGCACATTCAAAATGTGTTTTGATAAATTTTCTTACATTCTTGTATTTTATTAAATAGTTTATACTTAGATAAATCAATGTCAAAATTGCAATATTTTGTTCAATAAAAAAATAAAGTTATGTTCAATTTTATCTTAACCACTTTACCCTAATGCTTAGCCATTTTACCCTATGCATGATTTAAAAGGGCAAAAATGGCATACTTCACAGAATTAATTATAGCACCTAAATAGGTATAGAGCTATAATTTTTTTTATTTTGTAGATGAGGGATTTAGTTACAATTCTAATTTCTTCTGTGTTGTTTTTGTTTCAAAAAATTTCAAGTTAATATGAAAAATACCAATTGTTTTATCCTACATCTCTTCTGGCTAACACCATGCTCACCATGTGCACATCATATCGGGCCATGATATATCTCAAGATAATAAAAAGTTTTATTAGATATAAATGATTCCACACTTTTATAAAATATTTATACATAGCCTAGCCATCCATATATGATTAATTAATTTTTATACCTCGATATATTTATAAAAAAAAAGTACGTTCATGCTAATAATATTGACATTTAACATGATTGATATATTTTTTTCTTCATGTTCATATAGGAAAACATTTTAATATTACATTTAAAAAAAATAGACCTCAAAAATTACAACAATATCAAACCCGTGAATCTTTTTCGCAATAATCATCTCGACAACAATCTCCTCCATTCAATCCGAGGGCCTATTAGCAATAATAATGATTATATTAACATCAATTTTAATGATAACGAACAGTGTATTACCCAACGGACTTGCCATTTTTTGACCCAACCCTTCAACAGGGAGATTTCGAAATCACTTACCGGATAATTAAGCTCCTGAAGAGTGGATGAAAGTTTTCGAGAGAATTTTGGAGAAAGTAATAAGAAATCAAGTAAAAATCAATTATATCCAGTTTGATTTAACACCCAGAAAAAGAACTTAGGTTTTCATGGTAAAACAAACGCAAGAAAAATATCAAACGAAGAAAGGGTACTTTATTACTATCTTGTAGACTTGAAGGCTTTTAACAGGGTTCCGCGTTACTAAGTGGGCTTTGAGAAAGATAGATGTAGGAAAATGGTTGGTTTTGGCAGTGATGGCAATTTACGAGGATGTCCGAACAATTGTTAGGACTCATGATGGTTATAGCCAGACCTTTGATAAAGGTGGGGCTACATCAAGGATCAGTTTTGAGTCCATTATTATATCGAACTTCTATTGCTGACAGTCTTGTACTGCTGGCAGCAAGTACAGAGTTAAAAGATAAGATAATTCTATGAAAGACGGTTATTGAAACAAAAGGTTTAAATGCAAATTATGGAAAAACTAAAGTGATAATTGGAGGTGAAGGATCAGGAAATAAGGGATAAAGGCACTTGTTACATGGTATATATGGGAAAGGTGTAGTTAGGAATTAAATCTAATACACCTGCTGTCAGAAATGGGTGTTTAAATGATGTAGCTGCGAAAAGGGAGTTTAATGAAAGCAAGCGTGACTTTTACCTGTAGAACATGCGTGAAAGGGGTCATGATGATGATAATGTAAAAGGGGGTGACTTAAATATCGGAATGGAGCTATTCTTGAAAATTGGGTTTTTGTTATTTGGATAACATGTTAAACGCAGATGGAGGTGTTGATTCAGCTGTTGTTGCAATGGTGAAATATGCTTGGAAGAGGTTTCAAGAAATATCTTCTATTCTAACAGATACTCTAAAGCTAAGAGGAAAAGTTTATGTAATCTGAGTGAGAAGTTGTATAGTTATTCTAAGGTAGCGAAATGTGAGTAATGAAAGCGACGAATGAAGCTAATCTGGAAAGAACGGTGATAAGAATGGTCAGATGAATGTGTGATGTATTGTGAGAGAGAAAAACAAGCAACTAATTACGGGAAAGAATTGGTATAGACGCGATTGGAGTTGTGGTGAGAAGAAGTAGATTGAGATAGTTTGGGCACGTTGAACGAAACGAAGATGATTGGGTTAAGAAATGCATTTCGTTGTAAGCAATAGAATCAAGGCCACGAGGAAGACCAAAGTAGACGTAAATGAAAGGGATTACGGATGATATGAAAACAATGAGGTTTTATATTAGCGACGCCCAAAACTGAAAAAGTAAAGGGATCAGAAGATACTGACTCACTCGGGTAAACCTGGAAAACCTCCAATAAACGATAAATAAGGAAAAGACATAGTTATTATGTATTATGAATTCACCATAACAATAAGTCATTTTATTAATTTATAAATGAGAATTTTTTTCAAAAATAATACAATGTTATTTTATTTTCAATTTCATATATTTACATAATTTAAAAAATATATTTAAACGTAAATAAATAAAAAGAAATTTTTTTTAAATATTATTAAAAATTATATGAACTAAAATATTAAAATAACAGAAGGAGCTGGGGAGGGAGGGGGGGGGGTGAGGGTATATTGTAAATGTTGTCTTACATTTAGGTCTGCATATTTGTCTAAGCTATAAATTTTCTTTGGAATCTCCAGTAAATGAATATTTTACCTAAAGTTCTTAAATACGTTTTCTAATTGGAAATATTTATTTTGTTTGGATGACTGGGTAGACGCAATGGGATTCGAATCTGCAAACGTATCTATTACAGGTATAATCCCATACTAATGACTAACTTTTTGATCAAAGCGTAGGGGTAAAACCGTTTGGGGTCTTTTATTGACAGGGATATTTAATCTAAGTTCTAAGATGGAAGGTATATTGACTGGTATTAGCACCTTGTGGATTAGGCTGTTAGGCGGGGGTGTCTTTCCTAGAAAGTGATGTGCCGAAATTGCAGTTAAAGGAGCCCTAATGATATCCTGAGTTCTTCTGGAGAAAGATATGTGTCTAAGTTTTGGCATGGGATGACATTGAGCCATTTGTATCCAATATGGTTATTGATTAAAAGAAAATTGGCAAGTTCCTCTAATTGCGGGTTCAAATGGAGAAAATCAACAGAAAATGTAATTAATGAAGAGTCCCGTAAAAAGCTTGTTGGATCTCTA